CTCTCTCTCTCTTTTTTTTTTTTTTTTTTTTTTTTTTCCCTCACTCTTTTCCAAATGCCACATACAGGGGGCATAATATGCACATTAAGAAAAAAAACTTCACGACCTTGTGCTTTGCAGTGTGTGCTCAAGGTCTGTGGTCTCAATAACTCAGAATCTGTACAAGGATCCTGAGCATTATTTATCCCTAGCACGAAAAGGATTCGAACTCTCAACCAAATTCAACCAATATTGGCTACCTTCTTTTTTTTAAAAAAAAAAAAAAAAAAAAAGGGCGACGGCCTTGAGATATCATCATTGAGCTGACCGGCCCCAGGCAATTGGGGTATCTTTCAGTCTAAATAGTAAATACCGCTATATTATAACGACCGTGTGCGTTGCATTCAGGGGAAGAAGGTAGCACAAATTTCAGGGGTCTGCCTGGCAGTCAGAGTCAGCAAAGGCCAACTTGAAGGTGGAGATTTCTGAAAATTCAGAGCATTTTTTGAAATTTAAAATATTTATTATTTCCTTTCAAACTTCAATCCTTTGTCTTTTTTTAAACCTTTTTTGAATCAGATATTGAATTGACTGGAACAGATACTACACTTGATTCGTTTTTCCTTCGCTTCACAACCTTGCACTGGTCCCATTGCCTCCCTCCCCAGTCCCCTGCTTGGTGGTGTGGTGTCCTCTAAACGGTGCTAATTTCTTAAACCGCCCCCCCTTACCACCCCCTCCCTTCCCCCCCAAATGCCACTTTTGTTCCGTACTTCAGTGCCTTGATTTTGGGCAGGTATTTGTTAAGCAACCCTAGTTTCATATGGGACAGGTCGGTGCTGGAGTTGGGGAGTGGTTGTGGCCTATGTGGGCTACTAGCAGCCAAGCTCGGCGGGCGTGAGGTATCCCTTTTTTTTTTTTTTTTTTTTTTTTAACAACGGGGAGATACCCCCTCAGAGTATTGTATCGAGCAGGACTTGAATTCGAAATCTGTTTATCCTTAGTCCGGTTACATGTGTGTACCACTCAGCACTGAACAGATATGGGGAAAAAAAAGAAAAAAAAGAAGAAAAAAAATGTTAAAAAAAGTGGGTTATCCTATACACAGGTCATAGTCACATGTCCATCTGGAATTCAGAATTCTCCGTGAACCAGTCTGATAGTGCAATGAAAGTTCACCACCTGCATATCCCTCTTTGGCCATACTCATACCACCTAGCACTACTCTAAATGCATCTGACTGCCATTTAGCCTCCACCTGGACGCATCTGACTGTAATCAGGTCCAAAGCACAGTGGAAAAAGTCCTACTACAGTCTTCCCCCGAAGAAAACGCATGTATGTACTATTCAACTTTCCCTGGAAAAGTCGATTTCTTGAAGTCGCCCCCTGAAATCCAGATAGTACACACGTTCAAAAAGTACGCGCGTATGGTCTATTCGAATAGTACGCATGTACGTTCTATTTGAACAGACGAGTGTTCTATTCGAATAGAACGTACAGTTTGCTGCGCCCGTTTTCAAAAACGCGCGCCCTGTAGTGCTCCGTCTGCTCTCTCTCTCTCTCTCTCTCTCTCTCTCTCTCTCTCTCTCTCTCTCTCTCTCTCTCTC